GTAAGTTGGAGTTACAGTTGCATTAACTATAAGCCAGTTGCATTGAATACAAGTTATTTTTGTTGTCCAACTTTTATTCCCTTTCTTTCAAATAGCAGCACTCAAATTTTGCATTAAAGAACCCCACTCATTTCCATCTCTCAGTCTATGATGTTTGTGCCAGTCTCTACTCCTAACTGCCTGGTTGGGAATTGGATCTTGGTTTAAGCCAAATCAGTACAAGTCATTCCCATGGACATTTAATTTAGACCAAAGAGAGAAAGAATTCTAGCACTTGTTTTTATGTTCACCAAGATGTTTTAACAAGTCTGAAGCTCTTGGGGACCAGGATGTAGATCCTAAAAATTAAGCCAACCTCTAGGAAGTAGAGTAAAAGATGATACAATTTGATTCCTAAATCAAACTGACCCAGAAGGTATATTTATCCTTTATCTCTTATTAATTACCCAAACTAATAAATTAATTTTATGCTTAATCTTGTTTCCATGAAATTTTCTGTTATTGGCAACTAAAGAATCCTAACACACTGCAGGTCTGAAGCTTTCGTATATATGAGAATCATTTAGGGTCGCTTGTGAAAATGCAAATCTCTAGTCCGCAAACTCAAGATACAAATTAAGGCCCAGGAACCTGCATTTTAACAAAGAGTTGTTGCATTTTAACAGTTTTGTTGAAATAGTGCACCTGAGCTATATGCACACCTGCATAATGCAGATGATTGGTGGACCAAAGCTTGAGAAACACTGAAATTGTGAATGCAAGTGATACCAGTAAACAACATCAAAAATAAGGGGAGGTGTAAAATATCACATAGGGCTGAAAGGAGAGTCCATCTTTTCCCTGGTATCACAAATGGGAAAATCCACTGAGGAACCAGGAGTGGACTCCATATTCAATGCTTTTGTGTTTAGAAAATTTGTATTTATTTCCCATTACTATTAATATTTCTTCTTGCTTTATGTAGCATGATCATATATCTCAGTTTGTCTGGGACTGCCCAGGGATCCACCTGTTATTCTGGTGTGATTATTAATAGTACTTCCATACTCGAAAGTGTCCGGGGTTGGATGATTAATTTTATGATCACTCCCTTGCTGCAGGGCAATCTGCACAAAAAGGAGTTCTTTGTCTTTCTTGCTGAATTTGCTGAAACAAACATATTTTTTCTATTTTATGGCCTTTAATAGCAGAGACTTGATATCTTAAAATCATATTGCCAACATTGAAGTCTTAAAATCTCAGAAATACAAGTGTCTCTGAGTAACATATGAACTTATATTCATGTTATAAAGTCATCTGGGATATCCCATTATTGTTAGGATTGGCTTATTCTAAGAAAGTGGCACACCTAAACCTACAATGGGAATCACAATGGGAAATACATTAAAAATGTGAACAGAATGCTATATGAACCTTAGGAGAAACAATATCTCTGCCAGGCTTAATTCTGGCACAACTATAACTTCTGGCCAGTTGATAAAGAGATATGGTGATAGAGAGACAAGGTGAGTGAGCTCTTTGGCAGTTAAAGGAAGTGATGTCAGTACTATTGTCAAAGATTTTTAAGCACCTGGAAAGGAGAGATTTGTCAGAGGTATCTATCAAAGCAGTTTAGGTTTCTTCTAAACTAGCCTATTTTTAGAAAAGTCTTGAATTTCTTTGATTTTTCTCTACTAATGCTAATTACAAATATTAAACACACAAAATGCCTTTCTTGTGTTTTACATGTAATCAAGGAACAACTGGTATTTAGTAGTGACTTTTTCCTCCCTTAAAATAGGTATATAGTTGTTAAATATTCCAGGAGATATTATGGTTTCATATTCATATTTTTAATGTTGGAAGAATTTAGTTCAGTGATTTCTGCCTAACAACTGTTGTTTCAAGATAATTTGCCCACTGCTTGTTTGGTTTTCCTCAAACACAGCTGTAAGTTCTTTCTTTCTATATTTGGAGACGGAGTGACTGGTGGCTAGGCATCAACCATCTGGAAGAGGGGTGTGTTAGGTGGAAGAGAGGAGAGGGGACACAGCAATGCATAGCTTCACTACATGGCTGGGGAGTCATTGCTAGACTTTTACATGTCCCGTATCCCTGCCTTGCCCTGATCCTGACCTCTGATTGTACGTGGTCAAAAGAGCAAATGACAGCCTACATGAAGTTTTTGTCATTTTATCAGACTTAATGCCCCATTTTTAGAGTAGATATTTTGTTAACACCCTTTCTATTTTTCTGAAATTAAATTCATAGATCAACCTATGCACTTGCTCTTTTTTTTAAAAAAAAAGAAATCAATATGGCAATAATAATAAAAGAACAAACTTTATGGAAATAAATCATACTAAAATAATAAATATTTCAATACATAATGTTCAGACATGGCTCACAATGAGACATAATAAAGTAGTCAAGTGCTTACACCTAAATTTAGATTTCCCCTGAATATAATAGCCACAAAAACAGAGTGATATAGGTGCATTCTATCAGTGCCTCAAATAGTATGAGTAGCTTAGCCATTGTTGACACAATTTTTCAAAATGAGATAAACTCTTGGTACTGTTTAGAAAAAAAGGACAATCTTCACTTATATTACATCATTGTTTCATTCTCAGAAATTTAATGTGTATTAAAACATTGCAAAAATACTTCGTGCTTATATGTGAAATTTAGTTCTAGGTATAGACAATTATAAAGAGGATTTTTTTTTTTTTACCTATATGAATGTCTGAAGTAACATTCAAAAGTCATGCTTGACTTGGGGCAATTTTTCAAGGTATGGGACTGCACTGTGCATTTCAGCATGTCAGCATGTCTAGAAGCCCTGGTGCCTTCCCACTAAATAGTAGCAGTGCTCTCTATCCTAATCATGTGATAACTAAAATACCATCCCCAGTTTCTAAGGTGCCCTTTAGGGGATGGCATTAACTCCCCATAAAGGACCACTAGTCTATACAATCTACTCCAGAGGAATTGTTTACATAAGAACTTGTTTCAATTTTTATTTCAAGTTGCATTATTAGAGTGACCTATCGTTAAGTTCCAAGAAGAAGAATTTTTTCAGGATGGACTGATGGTTTCTCAGCAAATAGTGGAAAGTGTGCAAAATGTGTATTATCCTTTATGAATGTTATTTTATTTAAATTACAAGTGACATCAAATTTTTATTGGTGTATAACAATAGGTATTTATTTTTTATCAGTTACTAGCTTGTGGGTCAGCAGGGTTTCTGCCAAAGTTCAGTAAAACTTAGCTCTAGGCTAAAAGTTAAAAAAATGATTGCTGTTACTGCCACTGATGCTGTAGAAAAATTTTCATACTCTGAACATCATTAGAAACTTTTGATACAAAGTCCTCAGCAGAAGAGTCTAATTAGCATAGCCAAGGCCAGCACTTTAGCTGCAAGGGAGAATGGGAACATGAGTTTCTAACATTTGCATCTTACTTAGTAGGTGGTTGACTCTGCCTTCAAGATTCATAGGGTGGGTGTATCAGTCAACTTGGGCAAAGTTATGCTACTGACAAACAACCTCCTCCCAAAATTTAAATAGCTTAAAATGATAAATATTTGTTTTTTCTTATACAGCATGTTAATTGTAGGTATCAGTGGATCCTGGGTTCATCATAATCTGTCTAGATTCTGGGTTGCTGGAGCAGCTATCATCTCAAACATTGTTATCCATGAACTAGAGACAGAAAGCTTGGTGGGCTGGCTTTTAGAGTACCAACTGGCCATGATAAACTCATTTCTAATTACATTTTATTATCCAAAGCAAATCAAATGATCACATATAATTCTAAGGACGGTGGAAGGTCTAATCCTGTCATGTGTCGAAGGGAAGATTCTACAAATATTTGGTGTACTTAATTAATGACAACCATGGTGGGAAATTTCCCAAACATGGAAAGAGAGTTCAGATGTTGCACAACCAAAACACAAGAAAACCATTATCCACTAGAGATTGTTTTATTTTTATCTTTTCTGTGTTTTATCATGCTCAATCTAGCTCAGTAGCATTAGTAACACAGTAGGTGCTGAATGAATGTTTGTTGAATAAAAGGATGAATATGAATATGGTTGTTTAATTTACCAAATCTCACTATAATTAAAGCTTAAAGAGAGTTACTTTGCTATTTTAACTCCACACTATGAAGCAAGATAAATATAAGTGTCATTTGTATGCAATGTTGCATTTAGAAAACTTGAGACCCAGAGTGGTACAGCAGAAAGAGAGAGAAAAAAGATGTTGTTTCATCTCAATATCACTTTGAATCGCTTGTTGGTTTCCCTCCACAGCAGGGACACTGTCCCCTGCTCTTAGTACACAATTTGGGACATGTTAGGTAGTCAATAAAAGTAGTTCTGCTATCTCTAGTTGTGTAGTCTTGGGAAAGTGACATCAGTGTAGCCATAGGTGTTTTAGATGTGCATGCATACACACACACACACACACACACACACACACACACACACAATTATCTTAGTATTTGTCTTGTGTACTGTAAGGAGCTCCAGGACTGGAGAGCAACACAATTGAACAATTGTGATTATCATGTAATATATTTATAGCATAGTGTCTGCCACAAAGTATCCATTCACGAGCTGTTTATTGACTCGTAACAGTAACCGTCTGCTCTATTCTTAATGTAGAATAATGGGTGATATCTAAGAAAGTGTGTAGTGCAATTACAAAAATGTGCCTAGGGTGCTGAGGAGAGCGGTTTAGGGAACCTACTTCTCATCAAATAAACAATAATAATCAATGGCCTTCGTCGTCATCTTTTCAAAGGTCAAAGACTTCACACAGCTGCCAATGGGCACCCAGAGCTCCCGTTCATTCCTTTGCTAACCAAGGCCCCTCCCGCTAGCCGTCAGCCAACTGTCGCAAAGCCCCGCCTCCCAGGGCGGCCCTCCAATCGGCTGCACGGTCCGGGCCCAACCCTCGCGAGTCACGTGACGCAGCCAAGCCCGCTTCCGGCACGTCGCGGGCGGCTGACGTCGCCGGGCCCGGCGTCGCGTCAGGGCTGGCCGGCGGCGGAGGCGGCGGCGGCGGAGATGGCAGCGGACCCTGAGCGGGTTTGAGGGCTCAGACCCAGCTCGCTCCCGCGCAACCTCGGGCCGACTCGGTGCTGCGGCCCCAGCTCGCTCCGCTCCTGCTCCTGCTCCCTCCTCAGCCGCTGCCTGGGCGGAGGCGGAGGCAGAGGCTCGGGCTGGCTGCCCTGCTCGTGCCCCGGCTCGGCCCCGGACTGCCCGGCTGCTGTGCGGAGAGGAGGCCGAGTCGGTAAGAGGCGGCGGCGGGGCCTGGAGACCGCCTGGCCCCCGCCTGGCCGCCCGGGACGCCCCCGCTCTGGTGTCTGTCCCCGGCCCGCTCCCCTCCTGCCTTCCTCCCTGTAGCTCGCCGGCCCTATTGTCTGGGCGCAGCCGCTCCCTCTACCCCTCCCTTCCTTCCCCCCTGCAGAGGGCCGGACGGCTGTCAAACCTGGAGGCTTCTCCGGCTCCCTGCCAGCCCTGCCTCAGCCTTTCCTGCCTCTCTCTTGCCATCCCCCTCCCTGTCCCGCCTCACCTCCCTACCTTTTTTGGTCTCGTGGTCGTTCTCTGACCATTGCTTCACTGTCTCTGTGTCTGTCTTCTTGCTAATTTTCTCTTCCCTTCCACTTGTCATCTCCCCAAACTTCACCATCCTTCTATTTATTACCATTGTTTCTTGCTGTCCTTCTCTTCTGTTTTTACTTCTCTCCATGCTTTCTGCCCCTTCTTTGCAGTCCCCTCCACTCCAGGAGACTATCTTACTTTATAAAAAAAGTTCCTTCAAATCCCTCGTCATCCTTTCCTCTTGCCCCCAGAAAAAGGAAATCTTGCCTTTACTGGTACCTCATCTCTTAAGTGTCAATGGGGGAATTATACTTCCTTGCTCTTTCACTTATTATGGGTTCTAATTTGATCATAGAAGATGTTAGTGTACCTGGTGAACTACCCCTTACTGAGTTCTTGTGAAGGACAGCACAAAAGGTTGATTAGGTTTCTACACAAACATTTAAGTAACTACTTTACATGTTGCACACGACAAGACCTCTGTTAAAAACTCATACGTCTCTTCCTTTGCACCAGTACATCCCGGCCAAACTTCTTGTTGACTTTTTAATACACTAATTTTTGCTGATGCTATGCCAGGAGAGATACCCCTCCCCATCAGTATTTATGTTTGATTTCACATATTTTCATGGCTAGTGTTGATGCTATTTTTTTCTCTGACCTATCAATAGATTCTTTCAAAGAGAAAGGAAGGGGCAGTTGGAATTTTATCTTTGCGGTTGTTTTGTCTATTTTGAATTGTGACCAAACCATTCTTTTTAAAAAGTGACATAGTTGTGTGGGTTTTTTTTTTTCCTTTCTAAACTGGAGGGAGAATAGTCTAGTAATCTTAAATATCAAAAAATGTTTTAGGAATCTCCCAATAACAACAAATTTACATTCCTGATTATTATATTTTGATTAGGGTATCTCAAAATGTATTCATATTCTTCAAATACTCAGTGAAAAAGAGGCCACCTTAAGTGTGCCAGGTAGCCAGTGTGGCCAGAAAAGATAGGGAATAGTTTGCATGTGAATTATCTAGACTCCATTGCAGTTTTTTTGTTTATTTTAACATTACAACCAGTTTTATTATCAATGTGGGTACTGTCCATATTGAAATATAGTAAAAATAAATTCCCAGAGTTAAGGAAATTCGTATCATTATTGCTTGTTGAACATAAAGTGTAAGAAATAAATTTCCTTTGCAACACTGTATGTTGAAATTATTGAATTATTTGATTCCCAAGTAGGGGACCATAGGTAATGAAAAATCCTAATCTCAAGGGGAATTAATGTAATCTTCACTGTTGGAGGGGTGTGTCTACTGTTTCCTCCTCCTTTGTGTGTTCTTGTGTCTCATCTAGTGTTTTGTATTATGGGGCACTGGATAAAAATTTGTTGAAACTACATTAAAAACTTGATTAATTTCTCAATAAATTCAGTAATCATATTCCAGAACATTCAGCTGTCTTAATTTTTCAAAAGCAGACAAGCATTTTCAGCTGTCCTTGTGGAGAATTTTCTTGGGCATTTTTAAGTTTTAATGCCCTATTTATTCATTCATTTTAAAATAGTTATTTTTTCTGTGACCTTTTTCTTAATTCATTATCAAGATTGCATGCAAGTTGCACAGTACTTTACCTAGAGAGATTATGGTTATCAGTATTCAATTTTTTTTAAAATTTGGCAAGTATTTTAACTTCTCATGTGTTGTTTTAGAAATTCTGTTTAATTTTAATTTTGCCTGTTCTCTTATACTATGTTTCCTATGCATTTTATGCATTGGAATCTAACTTTTTTTTTTCTCTCTTGAGGTAGTAGAAAGAGAATACTGAAGAATAGGATCTCAAGATGAGTAAAAAGCCCCCAAATCGCCCTGGAATCACTTTTGAGATTGGTGCTCGTTTGGAGGCACTGGACTACTTACAAAAATGGTATGGAAAATACAGAACTGACCTAAAGCACAATATCCATAGTCTTACATATGTTAATAATTGCCATTAATTCTACTGATGGTAGCAGAAACATGAGTGTATTATACATGTTTTTTACTTTTGCTACTCTTCAGGCTTTTCGGGTTTAACATTAAGTATTAATAGCTATATTTAGCCAGTTATTTAGAATACTTATTTTAGGTGTTTTAGAACTGAAAGTAATTGTCTAGAATATGAGGCATATAGAAGTATTAGTATGCTTATATACTTAACATGATTTATAATGGTAGAAGTAGAGAGGGGATTGATTCAGATAACCAGTTTCCCAAGTTTGGAATAAATTTTCATATAAACCGGTGTTCCTGGCCTGTGTCAGAGGTGATCTTTCAAACTACAGAATGTATTAATGGTTAGCATAGTATTTTTTCATAGTATACACTTTTGGAAGTATCTCTGCTATTTACTGTCTCACCTAAAACCAAAATCGCTCTTAACCTCCTCTTTCCTCAGAGGGCAGTAACCTAAAGACAGGTTGTTACTTTCTCCAGTACTAAAAGAACAGTCCTCTCAGACCTTCCATTTCTTCCCCTATTCTGGTGTGGTAAGTGGTAAATTTAGCCCCTCACCCCCCAACATCTCCTTTATATAATGGTGTAGGAAAAGTTGATTAATTGGTATCAAACCACCATCTGGAAAGGAGAGAAGGGGAAGCAACACACAGGGGCCATGGTAGGAGTAAGGATCACCTCTCTTCCCAGAGAGTGTGTTCCTCACTTGGGTTAGTTGGCCCCTAGTTCTGCTCCTAATCTGAGAGGGGCATTAGAGAGGTTCCCCTTTTATGAATGGCATTGCTTTTATCTTCCTAAAGCCAATTTATTTTGATGAGGGTTGATGGTGTTTAGCAACTCCTGAAATTTATCTATCAGACTTTTTGACATTTTCTTTCACTTAAAATCATAGTGGGAATTTTGTAGATTTGCTTTTGATTGATATGTATTAAGTCAATTTCCAGAGTTGGCAGCAGCAAGCAGAGAAATCTTGTTTAGTCATGATATTTGACTTGAAACTATCCTGGGGTTTCTATCTCTTGTCTTCTGGTTTTAGAGCTTAGCACACACTTCCCTGACCTCCAGCTTAGTGGCCTTTTGTCTTGGGCTCTGCTTTGGGACAACTGGGACTCCAGTGTAAGGTGGGGAAGCACATTTATTTGGCCCCTTACCCCAAGCTGTATTTCTGTGGGTAGTTCTTTTTAGGGAGCTTAATTATTGCTCATATAAGTTGGAGAGTTGACAGGGTAGTTTTCAGGAGGGGCTTGGCAGTAGCATCCCTCCTGGTAGTGGTGATAAAAAATGTCTCCAGACATTGTCAAATGCTGACTAAACTGTTGACTAAAAAATGCTCCAGATCAAGAACCACTACATTAGACCACACAACAAAAGTTGTCAGTTTAGTCAGTTAATTGGCTATCTTGGTTCTGATTTGACCAAGAGGAACTTTTCACTTTAAAGACACAACTGTTGAATCTGTGTATGATACAACAGTACGAGAATACAAGAGTAAGAGTACTTGTTACTTTTGATGTTAATATTAAGTTATTTATTTAAGTTACTGGCTTTGTGAATGATTAGTTAATTTGTATTAATATATTTTTTCAGGCTTCCCAAATGACAGTGTTGCAATTGAACTAGCTTCTAGTTTTGGAGAAGCACATTAGTTTTCTCAGTAGTTTTCAGGGATATTAACATAACTTTGGTTTTAGTGAGAAATTTACTTTTGGTGGTGAAATGTTTTCTGATTTAACAGCTGTTAAATTATGATTCAGTAGTTAGAAGAAAAAGATTATGAAAAAGAACTACTTTTAAAACAATGCCTGAATGTGCTTTTAGAGTATTTGGAATTTCAGAGAACAAATGAAAGTTGTACTTTCTCAACACAAAATTCATAAGTGCTTATTAGGGTAATATCATGCAAATGTACTCCTTGATGAAGTTTTGATTTAATTTTAATGATCTCAGTAATAATGGTCTCTTTAATGTATAATGGTCTCCTTAATGTAAATAAATGTTAGCCAGAATAGTCACATATGATCATCACTGATGCTTGTCATTGCTTTGATTATATGAGCTCATTTATATAAATATTTAGCATTCTGCTTCAGGTGGCTCCTTCATTTTAAAAAGAATATTATTAAGAATATTATATATATACATATTCTAGGTAATTCAAATAAATAATTTTCTTATTGTGACTTTGTTAAAGTCAGTAGTCTCAAGAACTATAATAGTTAGGCTTGGGTGACCCTTACATTTATTATTAAGTGGTTTGCCATATGACAACTAGGTAATTGCTAAGATGTGTTAAGTTTTATATGGGACACAAAAGTTCTGTGAGATTAATGCTCTTAAAAGATTTTATTTCTAAATGGGATAATAAACTTTATTCATATTATTCTATTTGTAAATGACCATTCTATATTTTATAGAATTTCTATACATTTTTGCCTTAGCATTAGGTAAAAGTACAGGATTATTTGGTTGTTGAGAAACTTTGACATTCTTGTGAAGGAGCAAAATACTGTAGTTCATCATTGAAAATATACTGAAATATTTTTCTCCCTCTTCCCTCCCTCCTCCTTCTCTTCTTCCCGCCTTTCATTCCTATTCTGTTTTTTTTTTTTTTTTTTTTTGGATTTATATTGAATGCTTAGTCTTCCAAATTTATTCAATTCTATTTGAAAAGTATTGAGTCATATTTGATATAAATGTGGTTTGAACTATTACAGGCATTTGGACAGGGAGGGAGGACCAGGAATGTAAATCTTGTTTACTATCTCTGTACTCTAGACATTTACAATAAGCAGTGTATTTGTTATTGAGGAACTGACTAATCACATGTCCATATATTACCTTTTAAAGAGAAGTGCAAAAGGAAAGTGGTGATAGTGGATCACCAAAAAGTCTATTTGTTTGTTCTAGATGTAAAATATAACTTCATATATAAAAAAGGAAAATAATTTTTCATATGTGCCTAGAAATAAAAGAATAAACTCAAAATGTAGTGGGCAGAAATAAATTGAAGTTAAGCTCCCACTTTTAGGTTTGGAGTAGATTTGATTTAATAGGAAGACTCAGTTTATTTTTCCTAGGAAAAGTACATTACTGCTTTAACAAACCATATCAGATTTATCTTAAAGTTCAGAAGATATCCTTGAAAATACACTCTATATTTTTAAGTAGTTTTAAGTAGTGATTTATTGCTTTTTATTTTCAAAATAACTTTACAGCTACACAAGTAATTCATTGATGGTTGATTATTTACCAATACTAATCAACACAAGCCCTGAGAAGCCACTGAGAGATCAGTCATATTTGGTTCCAGTATTTGTTTTTGATATTTGGATCTCTCTTATACTGACTAAACCTAATTCTTACTGAGTAGTATAGGCTGTTTTAATTTTTTAAAATTTTGTAATTTTACTTAAAACATTTTCTTTATCTTCCTCCCTCAGTCATCTGCATAAAAACTTTAACATGCTAATTGCAGATAACACAATCAACCATTTTTATCTTATCTTCATGGTATTTTCTACTACCACCTGTGTACATCCAAATCTTGACATTGGGTTTTATAATCTCTTGAAAGCAGTAACATCATAAGAATAAAAATGGACATAGATATGTTGATACAGGAGTGTATTTGGGGAAAGAGAAAGTTCAAAGTTGAAATTACATAGGGGTACTGTAAGTGGATGGATTTGAATTCAGGCTGTTACTTACTAATCCTGTAAATATGAGTAAGTCCTTTTAGTTAGTGTGCTTATCATTAAAGTGGAAGCAGTGTTACTGGCTTTTATTTATAGGTTGATTTAAGGATCAAATAAAATTATGTAAACTTGCTTTAAATTCTACAAATTAGTACATAATTATAAAGCATTGAGACAAGGGGAGAGGGAGAGTTGAAAAATAACTCTGCAGGTATCTGAGGGCTTAAGTAAGTAAGGTTTTAAATGTAGCATTAGTGTTGGCATGAGAGTGGCCTAGAATCATGGAAGGAAGAACACGTCATTGCAATAAGCTATCTTTTTGAGGTGATAATAAAATTCTCATATTTCCACAGAGTTTCACAGTTGATAGAACACTCTTGCAAATACTAAAGTTTCTAATCATTCTGAATATTGTTTAGTAAGAAAAGTGATAAAATCAAACTGGTTTTGACTACTGATTTAACTTCTGTTTTTTGATTGAAATTAAAATAGTTATTCTATAGTAAGTGATTAGTTATGAAAACACAGCAAATCACATGGTATGTTCTGCTGTTAGTCTTGAAGGAAATTTGAAATATAGAGTCAATTTAAAATCAGATGAGTTATGCTCCTCTGACTTCTTTTGGAATATTTCTATTTAATTCTCTTCTAGATCTAAAGAAAAGGAAAATGAAAGATTAAAAAATCTGGAGATGTCTCCAAGTATCAGAGTTTAATAGAACAGTATAAATTTGAATTGGCAAATGCTGTTTCCACACATTTGGAGTTTTTTGAACTGTATGGAACATTTGCAAATGTGAGTTTTTTAAGATGTTCATGAACAGAATTTTAATAGGGTGGGAAAATTGAGGAAATTTAGATTGTAGCAAGTACAAATAGTTTCTAATTTAAATAAAAGTATATGTTTTCTGAATAAAATGTTGCCTTTTTTTCTAATTGGATTTAACTATTCAAAGGAAAGTAATAGTAGGGATAATTTGTGTGATCTACTTGGGATAGGAGAATCCTCCTGAAAAGTAGTATGTAGATCAAATTTAATGTTGTAGGAACATTAGGTGAATACTTAATACTTTAAAATGGAGATTTTTTGTTAATATGAATAAAATTTTTGTTTTTGTATATTAGGTTTTTCTAAATTTGTATATATATGAAAAGTAATGATTATTATTTTGAATCACTACCTTTGAAAACCAATTTCAGCCATAGACCCAGAGAAAATGTACAATTACTGTATACA